GGCCAGGCAGCAATTGAATGGCGTGTCACTCTTCCACTAGTGGGAGGGTCCACGGATAGAGCTGGTGCGCCTGACCAACGAGCCATCTTTACGCACAGGAGAGTAACAGCTGGGGCTCTCTGTCGCTGCCTAGAGGTTCGGAGTACAAGATGTAAGCTGAGTTTAGTGGCTGGAGAAAGCCTTCCCTTAAAATATTTTCTATCATATCAGCTGCTTAATTTACTCTAAAAATAACCTGGACCAAGCCACACCTTCATAAAGTAGATAGTGAGAATTAGTTTGCACTCTTATGTCATTTTGTTAAAGGATAGGGAAAAACACAATTTATGAGCAAATATACACTGGTCAAAAAAAAGAAAGAAAGAAAACTCAGTGGGTAGTGATGGGATTTCTCTTTTTAGAGAACCGGTGTTGTGCCAAAAAGTGATTGTCTGCCAAAAACTGATTTCCAGTGTTTCTGTGTATTTTTTATGTGTAATATCTTTACGTATGTTCGTAAATAGACTTCGGTGAACAGGGTTTACAAAGGGGTTATATAGAGAATTAAAAAATTATCCGTTTTTCAAGTATCTTTACAACTCTGTGTTATTGTACTTACATTATAACCAATCCGGTCCTTTATCCCCACTTAAAATATTTTTACAGAACTATTGTAATATTTGCTGCCATTTCTGCTGTGCTCTTGGCCAACTTACTCTTACAAAAGACATTTTAATGTTAATGAGATTTTTTTAACTGCATAAATAAAGGTTATATAAAAGTCACTGCCAAAAACTGATTGCGGCTTCTACCTTGTTACACGAATGTTGTTTGTGGCTCAAGATGACTTTGTCATCCATAAGGGATGCATTTGACATATGTTTCACATAGTATAGCCCAACAAGTTACTTATAGCAGTTTAAATACGAGCAATCAGTTTTTGGCAAATACCGGAAATCAGTTTTTGGCACAACACCGGCTCTTTCGGTTCGGCTCACTAAAAAGAGCCGGCTCTTTCGGCTCCGAACCGGCTCTTCAGGTTGTTTTGTTGCTTTAATTAATTTATTATTAACAATAATATAAAATTATGCACAAAATGAATTACTAATGTAAAAAAGAAAAGTGGTTTTATTTATATATGTTTATATATAAATATATGCGGTGGCCCCTAGAGACAAAACACGTACAAACTCCAAAACACATTTCTAGCATGAACTGAACTTCCAAAACAGAGCTACCCAGATCAGCGTCCCCCAACCTTTTTTGCGCCACGGACCGGTTTATGCCCGACAATATTTTCACAGACTGGCCTTTAAGGTGTCGCGGATAAATACAACAAAATAAAACTAGTACCGGTACCGAAAAAAAGAAGATTTATTCATAACACACGTGAAAAGACCCAGGAAAACAGAGTAAACGATAAAAACGATAACAAAATAACGCTGAAAACCGATAAAAACCCTGAAAACCATACATTTCACACCTGAGCCTCAACTCTCGAGGCCCGGTACCAAACGACTCACGGACCGGTACCGGTCCGAGGCCCGGGGGTTGGGGACCGCTGACCTAGATCATTTAAATTACACAATTGAAAGCATATGTGTATTGTTTGTGTATTTATACACAAGCATTCATATATAGTCAAATAATAATAATAAAAAAAGTACATTTACCTGTTACTACCACACACCAAATCCGGTTGTTGGTACTTGCTGGCTTGTGTAGTCACTAGGTAACAAAAGTTCAACACTGCCCCTAGCATCCTGGAGCACTTCTGTTGTCTTTTGTACGTGTTTTGAATTTTTATGTGCTTCTGAGGTTTTTACGTGTTTTGGAGTTTTTACGTGTTTTTACGTGATTTGGAGTTTTTACGTGTTTTTACGTGATTTGAAGTTTGTATGTGCTTTGTCTGTAGGGGCCACCGTAAATATACTTTTATTTATTCACTCCACATAAAATGTAATAAATAAATCATATAATACAAAAATCAACTATTCACATTTCAACTTTTAACTATTTAAATTTTCAGCTTTTTCCTTTTACAAATTTAAAGTGACACAACACAAAACACTGCAAACCATAACACAATTAAATATAAATGAAAATATGAAAACAAAAAGAAGATGCATATTCTCTGTCATATGGGCCTGCATGAACAAACTTTCTGAATCCTTTATCATCTGCAACTGAAACTAGTTGTGGATGATTACTGTACCTTTCTATTGTGACATTGTTGTCCCTGGCTCTCTTTCTCTCTGTCTCTCCCTCCTGCTCTGTTCCTGTGCTACTGCCACCGCCCCTCCCCCCTCTGCCCAGCGCAAAGCACAAGGCTGCATGCGGAGTGAAGCGAAAAAAAAGTGCAAGAGAGAGGGTGAGCGAAAGGAAAAAAAAAAACACGGCTCGCGATAAGGAGCGGCTCAAGTCGTTCACGTCAAAGAGGCGGCTCTAAGAGCCATTTCGTTCGCAACCGACCCATCACTATCAGTGGGGGAAAAATAATGCTGGATACCCACAGTGATACAGGATGGTTCATGTGCTTGGAATGAAAGGATGCCACACCATTTGATAGAAATAGAAATAATCATCCGACAGAGGGCTGAATTCAGAAACACCCCAAAAAATGTTGTGGCAAATGAGTCCATTTTGGCCCCCAAGTGCTTGTATGCATGCTTGACAAAGTCGGGGCATGCCCCTAATGAGATGATGATGGCGTCCAGGGTGGATCTCTTCTCAGATCTGTACAACCTGAGGTGCAACCTGGTAGCGTCAGATGGACTGAAACATGATGTCTCACAGGTGTTCTGTTGGATTTAGATCAGGTGAGTGTGGGGGTCAATCAATGGTATCAGTTCCATCCTCCAGGAACTAACTCTGTTCACGAGGTTGGGAATTGTGGCATGCCAGGAGGAACCAAACCAGACATGATGAACAATGTTACAGCATAACATTCTCCATGCCCAGTTTGATTCTGCTCTTGTCTGTGAAAAGCACAGGGCACCAGAGATGGTCAACTCTGGTATTCTATGGCAAATGCCAATCAGGCTTCACTGTACCAGGCAGTGAACACAGAGCCCACAAGAGGACATCAGGCCCTCAGGCCACGCTCATGAAGTTTGTCTTGACAAAGACATTCACTTCACTGGCCTGCTGGAGGTCATTTTGTAGCTCTGGCAGTTCTCATCCTGTTCCTCCTTACACAAAGAAACAGTTACGGTCCTGCTGATGGGTTAAGGCCCTATTCAGCTTCTAGAATAACTGAATAGAATAAGTCCCCTGGAATCTCCTCCATGCTCTTAGACTTAGACTCAGCAAATATTCTGGCAATGGCACATATTGATGTGCCATCCTGGAGAAGGCGGATTGCCTGTGCAACCTCTGTAGGGTCCAGGTATCGGCTGATGATATCAGTAGTCACACCGACCCTAGCCAAATGCAAAACTAGTGAACAAACAGTCAGAAAAAACAAAGAGGGAAAAATGTCAGTGGTCTGTTTAGGACACTGTCTCATTGTTGCTCCTCTAGTGTACCTGTTGTTAATTTCATTAACACTAAAGCAGGTGAAACTGATTAACACCTTCCTCTGATCAATATGCCAGAGGTTTTAATGATATCAGCTGCTTATTTGACTCAGAAAATATACAGGGCAAAGCCACACCCGGCCTCAGGCCACAGTGTTTGTTGCCCTCATGTGATTTTTATGTATATAGCAAGGGAGGAACTCAAATCTTGGCTCCCTTATGAACAAATGAAAAACATATGAATATATGATTTAGCCTATTTGAATATTTGACAAGATCCAAAAACTTACAGTGAGGATCCTGTGCCTGTTGTCATAAAAGGAAGCTACAGTAGTCATTGTTATGCCAATATCAATGTTTATCTATCAATATATTATTTATTTTTTAAAACTAATTTCTATTTTTGCCATTTCTATGTTTCACTTTTGGAAAAAGGGAAGGGCAAGCTGCTTATTGAGCTCAGGCAAAGGTAATCACATGCTTGCAGTAATCATTCAGATTACAGGAAATCCGCTGAGGTGTTACATAACTTCACCTGTCTACGCCTATGTGCTCAGAGCAATTAAAAGGTATGTACACAGATCGTCGTGCACGAGTTTTCTGTTATCAAGTTTTAAAATATGTGGAAACCCGGGCATTTCGTCACTTGCTGGTGATATCAGATATGAAACTGTTACAGGGAAGTGTGAACTGTGACCCTGTTCCTATACACGTATACACATTTCCGAACTGACTGTATAGTTATGTGAGGTGGAGCCCTTTAAAAGAGAAAGGACAGCGGCATTTACAGTTTCCTTCCCTGAATGAACACCTCTCTCCTCTCAGAGTGCACTGGTAAGTTAAAATGCTTGTGTGTGTTTGTTGTAGCCTGATTTCAGTGTGATAACACGCAATGATAACTGTGTAGACTGAATATTATCAAACAGATCTGTAAATGACATCTGAAAATTTTATAAATCAGCTACCTGAACATAAACTTTTTTTTTTTTTAATTGCAGTGCTGTTTTATTCAAAATGTTTCTTTTGCCAGCTTTTGAAAATTCCTAATTGAACAACATAGATTTGGCTTATTTGTTGTGTGAAATGTAAGAACAATCCAGTCTCTTATGTAAGAGTTCTAATGCTCTGATTTGCCCTGATAGAAATAATCAATAATTGTTCTATTACATAAATTAAGTGCTTATCAGGACTTTTTTATGTGTTCATGACATGGATCAAAGGTCAGTATCACGCAGCACCTGACTAAAGTCACGCTGCATTTCATATCAATGACAAAAACAAGCAGCAGTTTGTACAAGACAAAATGTTACACACACACACGTATATTATATATATGTCTTTCTTTGTGTGCCTTCTTTGCAGATTGACCAGAATGGCCCCTGAAACACTGGAAAGGGTCCACAGCAGCATTTCTCCAGACCCTTCAAAGCAAAACTGAACTTCAGGCAAAAGCACATCTGTCTGCAACACAGACGGATACTTCAAGTTTCAAGTGACAACACGATGCTTCAGCCAGACATTCGGTACACCAAAGTGCGATGGCTATTAACCATCGCTGGAGTCTTCCTGTATGTCGGGGACATTTGGACAGACATTGTACTGGCTGTGAAATATTTTCAAGAGGAACAATACGTCTGGACTGGGTTCACCGTGATGTTTATTCTGATCGGGCTACTGGTTACTCAGATCTTCAGCTATGCCTGGTACTGGGATGACTTGAATGACCCTCTCTTAAACCCTGAAGGAAAAAAAGAAATATCAGACATGTCAAAACCTGGGCTTGTTGTCCTGCATGCATTTGGATTTGGCATCTTTACCAGGTATGCCATTAAAATTACAGCTTTCATGAGACCACAGTAGCCGAAGTAGGATATGACCTTTGAGTTTAACACCTGCAAATTAACTTGAGGTTGCTTGCTGTACCTACAAAAAGGAGTGCCTGCATGTTGTGAGTCAAAACGTGCTTTATGATAATCACGCACATTGACAAAGTGGTATTTAATAAACTGGAATGCCCACATTCAAGCTGTGTTCAACTTGTTGTATGGCATTAAGATAAAAGCCTTACAAATGAATCACTGTCTATGCAGCAATAGCACGCTATGCAATAACACGTGCACTGCAGGGTGGCAGCTTGTTTGTTTTCATTGTGTTTGCCTTGTCTCTAGGTATTACCACCTGCTGAAAGAGGGTTTCCAAGTGGTTTGGACGAAATCAAATGGCGATGGGGTGGATAAGCTGAGGGAAGTTCACAAGAAGCTGTTTTGCGTGGCCACCGATCTGAGCATGCTCAAGCTCTTTGAGACTTTCCTGGAGAGTGCCCCCCAGCTCCTTTTACAGCTTTACATATTACTGGGCCACAACGAGGTCTCAGTCATGCAGTGTAAGTAGAGACAAAAGATACTCTACACATGTGTGCGAACTTGAAGAATCACTACTTACACTGCCTGTTCTTGTCTTTCAGGTCTATCTGTGGCCTTCTCCTTCTGTAACATTGCATGGTCACTGGTGGACTATCGCCGCTGCCTGCGGAGATCTCTCCCCTATATCAGAGAAATGCCCTCTGGCCTCCCCACAGCAATCTACCTCCTCTACAAAATTTGTACCATCACCAGCCTCATTCTCAGCTACAGCCTCCTTCTCATACTGAGTATCTACACCACAGTAGTGCTCACTGTCCTCTGGCTGCTGGCAACAATATGGACACACTTGCTTGAAACCAAATTCTGCTCAAGCAGAAGCCTGGAGTTTCTCTACAGGGCAGTTGCAGGAGTCATCCTGACATTCACATTTTTTAATGTGAAAGGACAAGACACAAAAGTAGCCATGACCACCTACTACATTTTCTGCACCGTTATTAACATTATGTCGCCGTCGTTGATGGCTTTGTTGAAGCCGGAGCTGCAAACAAGCACTTTGCTGCTGACAATCAGCGGTTTAATCTGTGGATGCTCAGTGCTGGGACTGGTGTGCCTCATTTTGTACTACGTCCAACTGCATCCCAGAAGGGTGCAGCGCGAAGAGGATGAGGTGGACGACCCGGGAAAGGAAACAAAGTCACTTGCAAGAATCAAGAACTTCTTGAAACCTTAATGAAGAATTTCTTTTTCAAATTAGTGTAAAAGGGTTCAAAAAGACACGCACAGATTCAACCGGCCTAACGATTTCACACGGAGATAAAATAAAGGAGCTTTTAGAGGTTTTGAAGGTACCATTTGCACTATTGGTGGCTAGCTAGACAATAATATATGTGGTTGAATGTCTATTTTATTTTTTCTTTACCTATTTATTCTTACAATGTGCAATACAGTAGGTAATCTGCAAATATTAATGAAAGCAGAATTATCTCTTGATGTTTTCACATGACTTTTAAATCTGAGAAGAAACTGAAAGACAAGATTAATAAAATAAAGGATTTCCCCCAAGTGTGTGTAGTATAATATACCAGTGATGAGAGCAACATAAATACATTGTTGTGCTTCTTAAAGGCTTGTTTGTCAGTGCATCACCCCACCCATATTAGCATTTCTACCCTTAGCAGCTTGGTGAAGCACCAACCAAAGCGTTGTGCAGTGTAACATTTGTATATCCAAATCTTGCAAGTGGACCTGTGGTGCATATGCTCAACACAGGATGGCGCCATTATCTAGGCTGTGAGCTCAATGGTGGCGTGAGCAACAGTAACAAAGCCACCAAAGTTGTTCTTTTAGTAAGAAAGCATGAAAGATTACTTAAAGATGGGGTCAAGTCATTTTTAATCCCTCTAATGTTTTCTCCTTAACATTTTCCATAATCTTTAAAATTATACTGTAGTTGATTTTTTAGGATTCCTAAGTATACTATTTAAGCCTTTAACCTATATATCATTGCCTTATATCGCTTGTTTTTGCCGAAAAGTAAAAAAAAAAAAAAAAAAGTTCAGCTGATCAAGTACAGGATCACACACAAAACAGGAAAGCTGGACAGTCGAGATGCTCACCAAGAGTTGAAGAGTGGATCATCTACCACTTCAGTAATGTCACTGAACTTGAATATTACTGTAAATGTAGCTACCAGAAGGATCCTCAGCATCCTAATACTCAGAAACTGAAAGGTGGCAACTAAACATCCCCCCTCCCCTCTTGAGAAGTAGTGAAGACAGGGGGTCATGGATGAGCTAACCAGAAATAACAAACCACTGCTAATTTTGTTTTGACTACCAGCAAAATATTGTATGAGTCAAGCCGGAGAGAGCTGCGGACGCTGTTTCTTCCTGGCTTGGGCAGAAAAGGAGGGGAGGGTGGCCCAGTGTGAGCTCACCTGGGAGGAACGCTGACAAACCGCAGGGTCCAGAGAGCACGATGGTTGTTGGCTCTCAAATAAGCGCAGCACGTCCCCCTCCACCCCCACCCCTGGCCTTCCTTTAATTTAGCCAAACTCTGAGCTTTCTGACTTGTTTACTCCAAGAGGCCACTTTAACTTTCATCTGTCGGTTGTGCCGTGTCAGAAGCACTCCATAAAATGACAAATTTAAGTGAGCAACTTTTGTTGGAGAGGAAATGAATCACTGCCAGGTAGTGCACAGAATTTTACTGTGGAACCTCATCGGACACACTCCAACTCCACGGCGTGCATTTGATTTGTGCGTATTTAGAGAACACAAAGGTGATTAGATATAGTTCAAAAAGACAGAAATGTATGTGTAGATTGTCCGTGATGCTGATTTTTAACAACTTTCCTTTGGGTATTAGCACCTGCAGGGAGGACTCTCAACCAAAATCACATCAACCTTTGCATTTAAGATGATGAATGCGCACCTCTCTGCCCTCTACTGTATATTTCCTCGGGCTCAGTGAACTAATGCAATGTAAATCTGCCAGAGGGATTTTTATTGGGAGAAGACACATGTGTCTTGTGCTGGAGTCCTAAGCAGTCTATCTCTCTGTGGTCTTTGTCGAACTACATATGGCGGTGACTCACCACTGATAGCACTGCCAGGGAACAGTCGCAAGCCATTGGGATAAAATGTGTTGAGTAAAGCATTACCTCCCTGTCTCCAGGAGAAAACAAGCAGAGAGAACGCTGGCGTTGACAGCCTCACAGTAATTTCCACTTCTGGCACTGAGAGCGTAATACCCAGTAATCTCTAACTCCGATCTCGTTGAAATGCGCCTCCAGAAAATGCTGGGGCGCTCGGTGAGAATCTGAGAAACTAGACCCAGATCAAAGATGAATCTTCAGAGCACCACAGGTCTCCATTTTGCCAAGTAAAGGCCTGATCTTGCGGTGCTATCGAACACTCGCACAACACGGCAGCAGTACCAACCCAAAGGCATGCAATCACCCACTGTCACCGCCTCAGCACCGGCTCTGATTTGTCTGATTTGAATGGCACTCCATGTCTACGTAAACAGTCTTGACCGCTGACCTTTCCATAACCACCGCTAAACTTTTCACCAAATCTTATCTTTTTGTTTTCCATCACTACATCCTGGAACAGCCGGTCAGAGTTGGAGAAACGAGGGGGGGGATTCCTGGCATACACCATCCCCACAATTTGTACAGACACAATAAACCCGGGAAGGCAGGCTGTTTTTCATTAGGGCTTCAAAGTCCATATAAACTATGATTAATGAAGCCCTAAGATGCTGTATGTCTTTAATTATTATGGCTTGACTGCTACACCAGTGCCTCAGATGCATTAGCAGTGTTGGCGATCTGTACACGTCTGCCTGGCTCGTTCTGACATGGCAGCGTCGCCTCATTCTGGGAGAATTCCTCAAATGTGGAGGAAGGGAGTGATAGACCCCCCCCCCCCTCCACCACCACCACCCCCCCCCTTTTTTTTTTTTGCAGTGGCACAGAAATTTCTTTAATCACTGTACATGCACACTTACAAATTAGGTTGGGCAGTGACAGATTGGAGAGCAGGCTGAGTATAATTACATGCAGTGGGCTGGTGTGTGTGATCACAGCGTGGCATTGCGTTACCCAGAGGGTTCTGTAAATAAAGCTCTCGTACAATGAATGAGGATATTGTATGCATTATGGTGGGTACAATGGTCTTACCATCGTTACTACTAGGATTTTTGCTACGGAGTAGCTGTCAGTCTTGTATGTCAAGAGGCACAATGAGGGAAAGTCAATCTGGGATTAAGCAGAAATTACTGTATATGAGGTCAGTTGTTGCTATAATTCTGACATAAGGCATCAATTTGCCTGAAGCAACGAGTCATCTAGCGTGGAGAATTAACCTCAGATAGACATATCTTAATTCTCGGGAGACATTCTCCTTATTTAGATATTTATTGAGCAATATGAATGTTGATTTAAAGGGATTGTCTGTTATTATATGGCCCTAATATTTGCTCTGGTTATTATATAGCCCCACATTTTTAATTGAAAAATGGAAATCAGTGCACTGATGTGGAAAACACGTCTTAAACTGTTGACCTCATCTCTATTAAGAAGAAAATTGGTGTTTATGACTGTTTTGAGCAAACAGAACATCTCAGGTGAGAAAGGGGTTGTAGCTGATCACCTACTGCTTGCAGATTGATCCTGCTTGAGACTTAACCCTCCCTTCTATGTAGACTAACACACGATTGTATGATATAAATTCTTTTACTGGCCTAAATCAAAACCAGTTCCTTGGAGCTAAGCTAATAGAAAATAAATGTTAAAACAATTACAGGCGTGTCACCTTGACCCCCATTTCGGCTCTTCACAAACCCACATGTGAGTCATCGTTAGAGGACTTCAAAGCTCTGAAGCAAAGCGTGCTCCCCGCTCTGCGTCTTGTCCAGCCAGTGGGACGCAGAAACAAAGAGCGAAGAGGAAGCTCATTTGTATAATCCTCATTTAGTGCAGGAGGTTTATGTTTCACAGCCACGGACAATCAGCGTGCACTAACATAATGGTGCTACCCATCCCAGCCCGCACACGCGGTTTCTCCCGCACAGACATAGACACAGATAGAAAACAGAAGCCATGTTTATGTTGGGCACACTCCCACAGCGCACAAGATGATGGATTATCCAGTGTTCTTGTTTATTTGTGCTGTGCAGGGTAGAAATGTGGGTAAGAGGACCTCATGCATACAGCCTATGTATGGCAAATACAATCAGCCGTAAAATAAGATTGCATATTATGAATGAGCAATGGGTTCACACGTACATATGCACAAGGCTGCAATCAAACACACTAGCATACACACACACATACACACACATCTTTGTGCAAGGGAAGCTTGTCTTGATTAACCTGGCTGGCAGAACCTGACATGTTTTTCCTTTTACGTCATGGCCTGTTCCTCGAGCGGCTCAGTGGAAGCCATCAATTCTAGTTTGTCTGCAGTTTGTCTATTTGAATCTTTTGCTAATCTGGATTATTCATTGATGGCCCGTTGGACTTAAACAGGAAGTGCTGAGCGATGGCCACTGTGGTATAGTTTTTAACATCATATATCATGTTTTCTTTTTTTCTTCCTTCTGTCAAAATGGCATCAATCAGTATGGCCACCAGTGAAAGTTTGTAAAATCCGTGGACTCCCTGTGGATTAGAGCTTTACCCCGATGAGAAACACAAATGGCAAAAGAGTCTTCTGATAAGGAAATGATTATCAGGGTGAGCCATGAAAACTGTAAGGGGGCGTACAAAGCATCTGTGACTTTATGAGTATGGGGGGGACAAACGTTTTTCTCTCATACATTTTCTCTCTGAGCCGCGTACACAACAGCTTATCACCCCCTTGACAATTTTCTTTTTCGCCCAGTATCACAAAGGCCAAAAATGTTGAGTAGAGCAAAAGATGCTATGCCTGATTATAACAAGAGGTCAGGTCTTTGATGCTGGTATGGTGAAATTTGTTATACGTTAAGCCAGTGCTAATGTGATTATGGACATTGATCCATTAAATCTACTGTAAAAACGCAGCCTACACTAGTTTTGAACTCGATACTGAGAAGAAATGTGAGAGGTGAAACATTAAAGACCCTTTGATGTAATATTTAACCCATCTGCAGTGAATGGGAGGGAAATGACCATAAAACTCCTTTTGGGCCTGAGCAACAGGGACAGGTCGGTGTGAGAAATGGGATGTGTGATTTTCTCTC